AAAACACAGGCGCCCAAGCTGTCTTCACCTGACGGTTACAGACTTGGAGACACGCCTTCACAATACTGCACAAAATCCATGCAGTAGAATAGAGTCAGTTCTTGCATACAAATCCCAACATCCTGCACTTCCCCCTGCTCCTCCTCTGTTCCCGGGATTCGTCACGTCACTCNGACTTGGAGACACGCCTTCACAATACTGCACAAAATCCATGCAGTAGAATAGAGTCAGTTCTTGCATACAAATCCCAACATCCTGCACTTCCCCCTGCTCCTCCTCTGTTCCCGGGATTCGTCACGTCACTCCCGTGCCTTGCGCTCGTTGTACACGTAGCATCCCTCACTCGCAGCGATCTTGGGGGCGATGTCGTGCTTCGTTTTGTGCATCCGCCGCCGTGCGTTGCTGAAAGTCTCGTGCCGAATGCCGAGACTGTTGGCTCGCTCGGCGAGGCTCACTCCACCAGACTCAACGGGCTTGCACCGCTGGCCGGGGTGGCACACGTCCGTGTCAGTACACGTGTGCTCTCCCGCTCCGGCTGCTACGGCGAGCGCTGTCTGGTAAGTGGTCCACCCTATCGAGCTGTTGCAGTGCTGCTTCAGCGCTTGCAACTACACGCGGAGTGCACGAGTGTTCGCCGCGTCGATCGCAGCCACCTTAGCTGCTGCCTGCTCTGCCGCGCCAGCATCCAGCATGGCCCGTACTCGCTTTATCAACACGGGGTCGTTCTGCATCAAATCCATCGCGCTAGAGCGACGCTCCTCCGCAGCCTGCGTACGACGTATCAGTAGTTATTGGAGGAGTCGGGGGAACATATGAGTGAGCGACAAATAAACACCACGGTAGCAGCGTCATTGCAGCAGTTACAGCAGTCACCAAACCCGTGCAACTTTAAATGCGCTTTCTGTGCTAAAGATATCGACGTGGTGGGATGGACCTCAATTTGGGGGCAAAGAGGACGGGCAGCGCGTGTACCAAATTTCAAATTCAAGAATAGAGCAGCTGGCATGAACTGGCGCGCCAGGTAAAGCGCAGTCAATCAAGCACTAGAAAGCTTTCAGCAGCACCTCAGAAGCGACTCAAACCTCACCGCTTCCTCCCGCGAAGTCTCTGGGGTAGCACCGCTTCTAGTCCCGCCATCATGAGCCAATGCTAGAGGGTCGGAGAGAGCTGCGTCCGCCCCCTTGCGCTTCGCCTTCTTCGCCGCAGCAGATGAANAAGAATAGAGCAGCTGGCATGAACTGGCGCGCCAGGTAAAGCGCAGTCAATCAAGCACTAGAACACCTTTCAGCAGCACCTCAGAAGTGATTCAAAACTCACCGCTTCCTCCCGCGAAGTATCTGAGGTAGCACCACGTCTAGTCCCGCCATCATGAGCCAATGCTAGAGGGTCGGAGAGAGCTGCGTCCGCCCCCTTGCGCTTCGCCTTCTTCGCCGCAGCAGATAAACAGCAGGAGCTGCAGCAGGCTGCCGTTTCCCGCGTTTCGATGCTCTCTCTCGGATGCCTTCAACATGCTCTCTACCCTCCTCGATGAGCTCAACTTCATCAGCAACCACAGATTGCACGGGTTTTCCAGCTGCCTCGGTGGTACCCTTTCTCAACAGCTGGCTGATTAGCAGTATCCCGCGGCTGTGCTTCTTCCGCTGCTGTCTCTTCACCCTCTCTTCCCCTCGGATTTCGATTGTTGTGCGGTCTACCTGCATGAGGCTGCCACGAGCCACGGCCAGACCCAAGTCGGGACGGCCGTCCTAGAACGAGATTAGNNGACGCGATACCGCCCTGAAACAGTTTGAGCAGAAATAGCCAATCTGGGCAAATCTAGCAACTTGTCTAGCTCCTCGCTGCAGCATCCGATGACGATGACACGCATATGCTCGCGAAGCTGCTGATGAGACCTTCAATTTGCACCGCTTCTTGGAATAGCCCGTCCCCTACTTGCCAAGAAATGGCAAGAGGCGTCTGGACCCGAAATTTCAATTTTTTTGGCTCTCGCTCTCAATCAGATACTTCGCTCTCAATCAGGCGAATATGTTGTTTTAGGTCTGATGACCTCGAGAGTGGTGTCCTCTGTTTGTAATTCGACCGAGCGGAGTCAATTGCCGTGGAGAATGAGGCTTGAGTCGGCGATGTTTGGGGTGAAACAGGATGCGCCGCATCGTTTATCTTGAAAAATGTGGGGTTTTTTTTTTTTTTTCTTCATATGACACTCTCCCTTCTTGCCCTCGCTCCTCGACAAGCTTTTGCTTAGACATGGGTTGTAGTGAAGGGGGGGGTCTTTCTGGCGAGCAGGGCTAGACTCACCCTCAAGGGATGACCGAAACCTTCTTGCTGCTGCGCATATCCGCCGCGAGGCATGCGCGTGGTGGTGTAGTTGGGTCGGCACTGATGGGGTCAGGCGGGAAAATGTAGATGCGCGGGCCTTTCTGGCCGTCGGCGTTGGCAGTGATGCCCATCTCATTTTTGTGCGCGGAGGCAAACACCATCATCAGAAAGGTGGACGGGCACTACACGGCCCTAGGTTTGCCAGAGGGGGCTGTATTGCCTCAGTAACCTGGCTTCGCCACCAAAGGAGGAGGGAGCAGGTGGCGACGAGCTGAACTAGGCGGGTTTTCCATTCGGCGCGAGAATTTTCAATAGTTTTTTATAAGAACCTTGAGTGCAACGAGGGAGAAAGCGAGGAACCGACTGGGAAGGACAGCAA